TTAATTAGCAAATTTTTAAATAAACTAGCCAGTAATATATCGGCTTATAATTTATCTAATCTTAGTATATCTTTAAACTTACTAACAGCATATTGCCACAAAATTTTATAATAATCTTATACCCGATATTTAAGTGTTTTAATCTGGCTATAATTCGATATTTGACATATTTCGCCAAAATCTTTAGCCTATTGGCCTATTATTATCATTATAAAAAATCTGATTATAGTCTTCATCATATTGGCCTGCTATCACCCTTTCTGATTATATATAGATATTTGAATAATATTTTTAATTTTGACCAGTGTTAGTTTTTTGCACCTTATAGCTGACCCATTTGGCAAATTTGTTTGAAACTCTGTCTTCAGAACCCTTGAACTGCTATTTTCAAAGACTTTTGTCTCTAATTCTTTGTACCAGTTTGGTTTTTATCCTCTTCCCTTATACTCCCTAATAGTTTTGACTTGTTGCCATGTTAGCAAGATATTATCATTTCTTGTAATTAGTTACTCTAATACAAAAATATTCATGTTGTTGCTGTTTCTGTAGTTGATTACTTCTTTTTTCTCTAGTATACTCAATAGACTTGTGCCTTTTAGGTTTAGACTAGTTTCATAGAAACTGCTTTCCTGAAAACTAAAACCTAGTTTTTTTGCCTCTGCTATCACTTTAAAGGCTAGGTTATATCTGAGAACTATATCATCTAACTTTACCTCACTACTAGTTATATTACTTAAACAAGTACTTTTGCATTGTGCTTCTCTAATTCTGAGTCTTGTGGTAATTCCTAGCTCATCTTATCTATTCATACATATTGTCAGTTCTGTAATATAGTGTGCTAACTGATTCTGCCAAATTGTATGCATTTCTAATATTTTTAAATGACTACATATGCTGTTTGGAGCTGACTTTACTAGACCTAATTTGTTTTTAATTAGTGTTCAAATTAGTCTTTGAATATACTTGCATGTATTTTTAGAGAAAAATGAAGTTTGAAGCCTATATTCAATATTTGGTAGTAGAACACTATTATTTAGATAAACCATTGGACCATCTCCTGTATGAATTGTAATTATTTTATTCACTTATTGGCAGTGTTCTACTTCGTCTAAATTGCCGCAAGGATCTCATATTACTACTATCCAACTTGAGAGAATTAACCACATCTCGATACTAAGACAAATTAAATTGTAGAAAAAAATTATCGCAAGTAATATCTATAACAGTTAAAATAATAAACTGTAACATATTAATCCGTTCACATAATACCTCTATTGCTCTTAACAATGATGGCCTACGATTAATTAGTACCTTCGTAGGTCTTGTAGTACCATATTGGTGATGTAAATGCTTAGATTGATGTAAATGCTTAGATTGATCTATTACATCATTTGTGGATCGAGTTGAATTTGGAGAGTAATAAATTGGTTTTTCAAAGTCATCATATGGCAACAAAGGAGGTGCCAATGTCAATGACATTTTCCATTAGTATAATCAGGATTGCGTTCGCCTTCTGGTAACAAAAGACCTGTTCCATCGTAAGAATCATAATCATAAGCATCTACATTTTCTATGAAAACAATAATAAACATATAGCCCAAAAAACTATTAATATCAATTATTATATCTTAACTTTACCAAATTCTTCAGGTTTGTTAATGCATTCATTTTCTATCATCGCAGGCTCTAACAATCTTTTTTTACGTTTTTTTTTTTACAACCCAGTTTCCTACAACAACTACGGTAACATAGATAATGTAAAATATTACCAAGCTTATGCACTCCCACCAATAAATATACCCATCCCAAATAATAAAAAGAGTAAATGCGATCGCTGTAGAAAAAGAGATCACGGAATGGAACTTTTGTAAAACGAAATGGTGTTACAACTGCCATGGAACCGGCGACTACAGACGTTATAAAATTTGCGACAGCGATAGTTCACCGCCAGCTAAAGAACCAGAATCGTGTGTCATCGCACTAAAAGATCCGGCGACCCATTACCAAATGCTAGGAAAGTCATATTATTCGTTAAGTAAATTAAGTATTGCAGAACTACACTTAGTAATTCTTATAATTATGTAATATTTTAATATTTACCATACTTTCGGAAAGCTTCAATTTGAATGCAATTATACTTAGATTTGGGCAAAAAAAATCAGATGCCGCAACACTAACGAAGCCGAACAAGAAAAGGAGCCATAGAAACTGATTATTATTTATTTAATGACTAAATAAATAAGTGTATCGATGGTCGAGAAGTAAAATGAATTAAAATTATAAATTACATTCTTACCAGAATGAATACTGCAATAAAGCTTCAGTTTTGTGAAACACAAAAATGATCGCACTGATTAATTTAAAAAGTTTAATTTTATTAATAACATATGTGATAATTTTAAAAGCAATAATGCTTTGAATTATTAACTTTACGTATATATCTACGAATATACTATCACGTAATATTAAATATTTCTGACAATTTCTTTCAGACTTTTTGTGTTATTAAAACCCTGCCTACCTCGGTAGATAAATTTCTAGTGTCGGGGAAATTACTTCTGTAATAAAACTGTCAAGGTTTATCAATTTTTCACGTGAAAGAATTCTGGTATCATTTATAAAAAGTGGCGTTCCTTTAATATGTCTGTTTTTCACGTTGTTTCCACAAGAAACCAACGCTGTTGATATGATAGCAAATAATTTTTGCGATTCATTGAAGCGACGACGAGTTATGAAAACCAGTACTACAGTATCATAATAATGATAAAAATTTTAAAAGTTCGTTAAAATTAGGGTTAGGGCCAAGATCAGATGTTATTAGAATTATTAGTAAAATCTCGCAAGGAAAACTTTTTGTTAGAGCACCAAAGGTGGTTTCCTATGCAGGGTTTTTATAATAACACAAAAAGTTAAAGAAATTGTCAGAAATATTTAATATTACGTGATAGATATAACGTTAATAATTCAAGGCATAATTGTTATTAATAAAATTAAGCTTTTTAAATTACTAAGTGCGATTCATAATCAACTATCTCCAATATTATTTTCGTGTTTCACAAAACTGGAGCTTATTGCAGTATTCATTCTAGTAAGAATATAATTTATAATTTCAATTCATTTTACTTCTCGACTACTATTTGGCTACTAGTTGACTACTATTTAATTACTATTTGATTACTATTTGGCTGGATAGAAATATTAGTACGCTTGTGTAAATTTCATTTCTCGAAAAATTTGAAAGGCACGGCAAATAATTATAACCTAAGACAAAAATTATCCATGTAGCTTTGTTGATACATTCGCCAATAATCAGCGAAGATCGTGCCTTACTTTCTGCAAACCCATAGGAAAAATCTCTACCATAAATCGGGATTAAATATGATTGTAAATACTAAAAATAAATCTATCTTTATAAAATTAAAAATGTGTTACTTTTTGTGAACTGTCGTATATGCAATACTAATAAAAATACATAGAACACCTACCGAAAAAAATTTTTTTTTTTTTTTTTCTTAATCTATCCCTCGCATTGATAATAATTCCATTATTACATTTATAATCATACCTATTGTATAAACTGAAATTAATATCCCCAAGGGGGGTTGAGCGTAATTTAAGAATGAACGTTTGCCAAGTAAGAAGGTGGATTGATTTTCAAGATCGGCAGTTGAGGCAGCTTCGGCGCCGTTCATAGATTCCAAATTAAATTCGTTAACATTAGCACCTTCATTGAACATAATATTCTCATTAGCATTTTCAGATACCCCGAAGCGGGGGACATACGGTATTCGTTTCGCGGCAGGTATATGAGAGCAGAAGATAATGTTATCAATAAAATAACTAATGATACCAACAATGTTGGTTCAACACTAATTTTGCAAGGAACCCCAGTTTGGGTTGTCACATACTCAAACCAATGCCTAAAAGAATATCTAAATTATGAACCGTAAGAATAAATGTAAAAAAATGTTAAATCAAAAAATTATATAAATGAAACATACTCAATATTGGGCGTCCAGTTTTTGCAATAGTAATATTGGCAACAAAATCGCCAAGACTACTGCCCTTTAAAATAAAAAATATATTAATTATGTAAATGGTTTGGCATTATGTACAATTATTTTATGATTATGTCAACCATACCATCGCAAATATCGTTAGGCCAAGAATTGCATCACTTAGTCCCATAATTAAGCCTAAAGCCTAGGTCAAAAAATATAGAATCAAGTCATTGTACTTAGGTTTATATATTATTTTATTACGCAGTGCCTACCTGTAACATGCCAACAACTTCGTTAGCTATGATATAAATTCATACAATCGCTACACCAAATCCCATAAAGCTTAACATTGAATAAAACCTTGGGGGTTGATCATCGCTCGTAGTAAGAATGAAAAATATAGATAATGAGGTACTAATAATAAACGTATAAAGTATGAAAATAGGTAAATCATCACCTGTAATTCAATAATTTATAATAATATTAGTTAAATACGATAATTAGTATAGGTTCTTAAATCAAAATAAATAACGCTTACTGAATAAAACCATTGAGATGAACAAGGGTGCAAGAAAAAATTGAACTACAGTTAGCCAACGATTCCATAATCCTCAGGTTCATCAACAATAACCGAATTGGGATCATCATTAACTACAATGGAAGGAGTATTTAGATTGTATTTGATTATCTTTTTCTTTTTCTTCTTGCAAGGATATGTCCTTGACTTCCACAACAGGAAGCGTTAGCTTGAGTACAAGTATCGTGGGAAAAGCCATCAGAGCAATGAGTTTTGCAACGAATGACTTTTCAAAGAACCCTGTGAGGGACGGAAAAAGGGTGGATTGTACTTTTTTCCAAATAGTTGATGATTATGATGATGATGATGATTGGGGATGATAATAGCGAATGTATAGGTGATGAATATATTGATATGTCGGATAAAAAGTGTTGATTGGTTTCTACTGATATTCTGGAAGGGGATATTAATGGTGATATATTTAGCGGAGAGGAAAATATTTGAACCGATGGTGATGACAATGTCCTTCGGTTTGGAGGTTGTATAATTGTTAAAAATCGTGGTGTATTAGGCACATTTGAGCAAAGAGTCATCTTGTGTTGAACCTAAAGATTCTCCACCATTGGACCATCTCCTGTATGAATTGTAATTGTTTTATTCACTTATTGGCATTGTTCTACTTCGACTAAATTGCCGCAAGGGTCTCATATTGCTACTATCCAACTTGAGAGAATTAACCACATATTGATACTAAGACAAATTAAATTGTAGAAAAAAATTATCGCAAGTAATATCTATAACAGTTAAATAATAATTGCTCTTAACAATGATGGACTACGATTAATTGGTACCTTCGTAGGTCTTGTAGTACTATAAATGCATAGATTGATCTATTACATCATTTATGGATCGAGTTGAATTTGGAAAGTAATAAATTGGTCTTTCAAAGTCATCATATGGCAACATTGGAGGTGCCAATGTCAATGACATTTGTGTAATTGTCCCATTAGTATTATCAGGATTGCGTTCGCCTTCTGGTAACAAAAGACCTGTCCCATCGTAAGAATCATAATCATAAGCATCTACATTTTCTATGAAAACAACAATAATAATAAACATATAACCCAAAACTATTAATATCAATTATTATATCTTAACTTTACCAAATTCTTCAAGTTTGTTAATGCATTCATTTTCTATCATCGCAGGCTCTAACAATCTTTCTTTACGTTTTTTTTTACAACCCAGTTTCCTACAACAACTACAGTAACATAGATAATGTAAAATATTAACAAGCTTATGCACTCCCACCAATAAATATACCCATCCCAAATAATAAAAAGAGTAAGTGCGATCGCTGTAGAAAAAGAGATCACAGGATGGAACTTTTGTAACACGAAATTGTGTTACAACTGCCATGGAACCGGCGACTACAGACGTTATAAAATTTGCGGCACCGATAAGTTCACCGACAGTTAAATCATCAAAATTGTGTGTCATCGCGTTAAAAGTGCTAAAAAGATCCGGCGACCCATTATCAACCGCTAGGAAAGTCACTCCAGACTTTATTATTAGTTAAGTAAATTAAGTATTGCAAAACTACACTTAATAATTCGATCTTATAATTATGTAATATTTTAATATTTACCATACTTTCGGAAAGCTTCAATTTGAATGCAATTGTACTTAGATTTGGCAAAAAAAAATCAGATGCCGCAACACTAACGAAGCCGAACAAGAAAAGGAGTCATATAAACTAATTATTATTTAATGAATAAATGAATAAGTGTATCGATGGTCGAGAAGTAAAATAAGTAAAATGAATTGAAATTATAAATTATATTCTTACCAGAATGAATACTATTTAGATTTGAAAGCAGAAATGTATTATTTTATAAAACGTATTCCAACAGAATACAAAAATCATAATGAATTGAAAATGGAATAAATGTTTATATTTAGTTATATTTACAATTAATTATATTTAGAATTTCAAAGTTCATTTTTCTGAGGTGGGATTTAAAACAATTTAGAAAGAGAAAAACTGTCTTATGTATTTGAAATATTAATAAATTTACTAATAATTATTGCACGTTCACTTTAACCTTAATGTAAATGTAAATTAAACTATTGGAATAAACATATGGTTCGCATGGAGTCTCTCAGCCAAGTAGGGCCAACTTATCATCGATATTTTATCAGCAAAAAGAGTATCGTCAGTTGTATGTTGTAAACTATCGTTATAATTGAATAAACTTGTTTACTTATTAATTAAACACAACATTTACCGTTTATACCTATCCAAGATTCCTACTCGTTGGTCAACTTCCTTGTTACATTATGACTCGAGTCTCTGTACCACCACGTGGTTTGTAACCTCATAAGTGGTCATTGAGCTGTCATAAGTCCATGAGTCACAATTAAAACCAATTCAATCTAATAAGATAGACGTCGAGCCGTTTCCACAATAAATGAGCCGTGACTGTGAGATTAATTATCACTTTTATTCCATCTTTCGGATGGGTAAGGTGGGACAAAAAAGAGTTAACCTACTATTAATGAGGCGAGAGATAGCGAAACCAAAGAGGGAGAACAACTAACATATGATTCTTCCCTAAATACTCATCCGGTGGATCCGGATTTTACTTGATTATTTTAAACACTGGTATTCTTATAAGCCCACAAGAATAACGCGAAAAAAACTTTAACGGAAGTTTCAATTTAGTTTTACTCTCGACATTAAGTAAAAATATTTCGTTTAACAAATATACATCTATATTAAGACAATTAAAAGCAATAAGGTATCATTTTTGTTATTAATAATCATTTTTAAATTTTGAAAATTTTGCCCATATGCTAGACTTCAAGGTTTTAAGTTTATAATTTACCACCACCAAAATCAATTACGTAATAGTATTGGCGTTAGATCCGAGTTGTTGTATGACGAACCTACGTAGCATCGCCACCCAACTCAATTATGTAACGGTAATCGTAGTTTAAAAATTAGATCCAAGTTGTTGTATAACGATAATAATTAGCGCTATTAAGCATGGCGGGCTTTCATTTTGATTGGCAAATTTTTGTATATCATCCCGAAAAAGAAAAAAAAATAGGACGATTTTAACGCTCACCGGTGGTGAAATTCACCGGTTATATGATTAACCAATAAAATCGCAGGATCTTGAGTAACGATTATAAAGAAATTTTAAAAAACTTGTATCATGTCATTAAGTAAAAGTTTCCAGCGCTTAATTTTACATATAATGTCGGGGATGATGCTGAAATTCGAGATCTCGATTTAAAAATATAAACCCTACCTATACTCTTTTATTATAAACACTAACCCTAAACCCTAACCTAACTATTGTGAACCCGGACCAAAATCACGGGTAAATGTAACGTGACATTTAGTCCCGGGTCAAGTGCAATAAATTACATTTGTCCCACAAAAGGAAGATCAGGCA